ATTACTGGTTGGTGGCGGTAATGCACCTCTTAATTGTTTGCCAACCGCCATAAAACAAGAAGAAGAAGAAGAGGAGCGTCTGATGGAGTGTCAATCACAGCTCCCCCCCACCGCTTAACCTGCCGCAGGAGGACGCGCGTGGAAGTCATGGCGGAGCGACAGCCACCAGAGAAAGAGAAACTGCCCTTACTGCCCCTGCCGACAACTGCTTACACGGCAAACTTCGGTATAACCAGCATCTTATATCTAGCTGCTTGGAGGTGAGTGTTATCGCTCTTACCGGTTCACACTCCATGCAGCGTACGCTGCTTGGACGCTCCATACGGTAGCCGCGCAGGTGCTGTGAGAGGGGTGGAGCTTGGAGGTGGGGCATGAGTGAAGCAGAGAGGGTGGGGGAGTGGAGTGAAACCTGTTTTTCTTCAAATTTTCAGTCGAAGTCTGCTCTCTTCTCAATGTTACAGACTGCAGCTTTAAAGTTGCTTGCGATCCGCCATGATAGAAAAGAAGAAGCAGAAGATGGGTGCGTCTCAATTCGCAGGCTGCGTACTTGGTAGTACGCATTTTGAGGCCGGTGACGTCACAACGCTGCGCGGAGGCCGTCCCATTTGGCAAAAATTCTGAGGACGCTTAAAATGCAGCCTCAAAATGCGTCCTCCTTTTCCCCGAATTCTGAGGATGCATCGCTACCGTCCTTAGTGGCCTCGCCTCCCGCTAGATTTCCCGAGGTGCTTTGCGCGCTTTTTTTTTTTTTTAGTTGAAGAAAAAGAAGAAGAAGAAAGTCGGATTTTCTTCAAATTACGGACAACCGAAAGCAGCAGCAGCGCCGACAGTAGTGCGGAGAACACCTTTAAATGTAAGTAGTTTGTTTTTTTTGTTTTTTTTTATGAACATCTATTAAAATACATGACGGTAACAGAGCCACCGGGATGTGTAGGAGCAGCTAAAGCTAAAGCTTAGAGCTAACCTGTTGATACGTGATGCTCATCAACAATTAAAAGCCTTCATACAAATGTCACTATTTTTTATTTTAACCTACATCTTACTGTACTGATAGCCGTATCCCTCTCTAATCAGATCTATTTATTCTCAAACAGTTTATTACAAAGTATTAGAACTTTTAAAGCTTAATGCAGCTGAAGAAATAACATTAGTCCAGCTGTACTGGGCTGTCAATACTGCAAACGTTTTGTTTTAATACTCAATAATGTATAGTTTATTTAGAGTACAGTATAATAAGGTTTAAAGTATAATTCGCTTGAAGAACAATACAGGCGTAATTATACAGAACAGTCATTTTGCCTGTTGACTTAACAGAAATATGCTTTACATGTCATTTTGTTCCAGGGAGCAGACAGAGGAGTGGATAAAATGACCACTTCATCATCGGGGCCAAAAATACTGCTGCAGTCGGATGGAGGGAAGAGGCAGAATTCCATCTACATGTTGCATTTCTATGTAAAAGTCACACAAGTTAAAAGAAGTCCTGTTCAAACACCAACGTACAAATATAATCTTTGATCACATCAAATGATGCTCAGATGCCACTTTTTGTAAATCTCATATTTGTGATAGAAGTGATCCTTGTGTGGGACAACTTTAAAAAAAAAAAATACAAAGTATGTTCAGGTTTGGATAATGTAATGAAACACACACACACACACATATATATGTATATATGTATGTGTGTGTGTAGGGAAATTACATCTTTCATTTATTATATTCGTGTTAATTTACACTTTGAGTAAGCTTGAAAAAGTAATCTCCAGGTTACCATTCCAGTCTTTTTCTGTAGAATTTCATCAATCCATCCAAATCATGAAACCTTCCTTTTTTCTAGCTTTAAATGAAACACTACAGAAAATAGCATCTGTTGACACACATTGTTTTCCTCTACTATAGGAATGCAAAGATCCAGGGACAGGGCAGCGGGTCAGTGGGAATCCTACTGCTGCCACCTGGCCCTGGTTTGTCCTCATGGATGAGGTATTAGGACGGAGGCCCTCTGTTGCCCCACCTGTCCTAATTGCCTCCATCCCTGAGGAAACACCAGGACTAGATGCTGCAGAGGCTGAGCAGCATCAGGGTGACGATGAGGAAGAGAATGAGGATGAGGGTGAGGGAAAGGAGGAAGAGAAGAAGGAGTGACGAGTTGGTGGATTTAATCAGGGAGGATATGAGACGGCAGAGGGAGGCGGGAAAGGATGGACAGATGTTATTATTTTTTTGGTGTTTTTTTTTAACAAGTTGAAGTTCTGTGTTGCTGTTATGGTTAAATTAAATTATTAAATTGTTTATAAAAGTTATTGCTGTCGGTGTGTTCTTAAAGTCTTTTAACCTTTTTACATGATCTGTTTCATCACTTCTTTGTAATTTAAGTAAACTTAGAACAACTTCTCAGTGACATCAGTTTATTTTTAGAGAAGCAAGTATTTACAATAAACTATTAAACATTTTTAACTATTGACATTAGATTTTAAAATTAACTACTAAAACTATTTATAGAAGATATACAGTAAATATTACTAGAGAACATATATATACAATTGTGACTGAGCAGGAGTCCCTGGTGGTGCTGCTGGACTGCATGCAATGCCACACAGATGAGCTTGGAGTCTTCTGACTGCGAGTGGGACATCATCTGGTGGGTGGGGTTGCCTCTCTCCACTGCTGATCCAATCGATGGCTGCCATGTTACTAAAAATGTTCAAGTGGACGCAGAAAATAATGACTTTACTAAAACTGTTTTTATAACCCTGAAATAAGAACAGCTAAAATGTGATTCTACTTGCCATCTAAATGTAACGGTGGTCGGGTAGACCGTCCTCCAGGGCAGACACCTCGGCAGACAGCTGGTCCCTCCAGTGAGCACCACTGACTGCCTCCAACACGTTCTCCCCCTCCTCATCCTCTGGCATGTCGTCCTGCTCTTCATCCTCTGGGGCTGGTATGACCTGTAGAAAAAAAAAGACAAAAATATTTATTTTTATTCAGTCATCTATCTTTTTTCCTTATCTTTATTACATGATTTATTAGAAATTAAATTTTACTTCATCTAGATCCACTATTTAACTTATTTTTTATGTTTTTATATTTTGATTTTTTTTTCCTGTATTATGTTTATATATATATATATATATATATATATATATATATATATATATATATATATATATATAAAATTGCAAATAAAATCAGGCAGTAAGGGGATAACAATTTAGACAAAAAGGATTTATTTCTCAACAGTTTGGCTTCTCAACACAACATTAGTGATAGTGAAAGTAGTGATTTAAGTCAGTTATTTACAGGGTTTGTACACATTTAACTATTCAATTCAAATTACTAAAGTTACAAACAAATAAATCACAAACTTACAAATAAATATAAAATTTGATATTTAAACCTATTCATCAATCTGCTGACAAGCGTTTATTTAATAGCTGGTATATTCTGATCATTAGCAGGCCCCTGTGGGTTAGAATAATAGCAGGTGGATCTTACCTCTCCACTGCGCTCTGCCAGCCTGAGAAAAATCCGTCGCAGGTTTTGCTGCCGTCAAAGCCGACTCTCCTCCTCCAATAACAAGTAAATAAAAAAATAAAATTTCCATATCTATTTTTTTGTTGTTTCTTTCCGTATTTCTCGAGCTGTCGGATTTTGTTTCGCGCTGTGTTTGGGGTAAACGTGATGACGTCGTGTCGCAACCAGGAAGTGCTCCAAAGGCTAGACCGTCCCATTTACCAACGGCTGAGGATCCTCCGGAGCAGCCTACCAAGTCTGGGTCCTCCGGAGGCTAGGTAGGCTGCGTCCTCGGAAGTACGCAGCCTGCGAATTGAGACGCAGCCTAAGAAAAAGAAGGAGAGGGACAAGGAGAATCCGTGTATCATTCGTTCTTTCTATTTTCAATTGTCAATCAAAAAACAAAAAATAAAAAATTGACTGGTTATTTTGTTTTTTGTTCTTTATGGTTAAACCAAAAACGAAAAAAGGATTTGTTTTTCATATATCAATTTTAAGCTCAGATCAAGAATACGAAATGGAAAAACGGACAGCAACGCATAATTTGATTTTAATATTTAATCGGTACAGTTTACGTGACCCGGAAGTTTGGTGGAGCGTTAGCTAAAAAAACAATTGGCTTACCCCCACCACGTTCGATCAAGCTGCACCAGATAAGGCAGTCGGACCTATCAGCCATGGACAGTTACGTGTTATTTCGAGGATCCAAGCGTGTGACTCTTAAGGAGGAGGACATGACAACGGAGAAAATCAGCAGGATTTTCCAGGTGTAACTTTTGTCTTGAAACTTTTCTGTGCACTGTACTTTTAACTAGCAACAACAAACAGCTTCTCGATCAACATAGTGTATGGTTCTAGCGTCGCCATGGTAACCACTTCATTACCCCAACTGCTGCGCAAAGAGCTATTTCCGGGTCACGTAAACTGTACCGATTAAATATTAAAATCAAATTATGCGTTGCTGTCCGTTTTTCCATTTCGTATTCTTGATCTGAGCTTAGAATTGATATATGAAAAACAAATCCTTTTTTCGTTTTTGGTTTAACCATAAAAAACAAAAAACAAAATAACCAGTCAATTTTTTTTTTTTTGTTTTTTGATTGGCAATTGAAAATAGAAAGAACGAATGATACACGGATTAAGGAGGAGAAGAGCTCTCTGAAAAAGTGAAATTGAGAAGAGTAGTTGAAAGGACAGGCCAAGAATGGAGTCTTAAAGGATTATTGGGAAATTAAGGAAATATGAAGGATATTTATAGATTAAGGAGAGCATTATTTATTTATCTTCAGAATACAAAATTAAAAAATAGAATTTAATAGATGTAAAACAATGTTGCTACACACTCATGAACAGTAGGTGGCGGTATACACCTTAAAGTTGCTTGCGATCCGCCATGATAGAAAAGAAGAAGAAGAAGAAGCAGCAGAAGAAGAAGGAGAAGAAGAAGAGCTCCAGTGTCTCATGCCCCACCCAGCGTAAACGCTGAACGCGGGCGGAGCTTGAGGGTCCTCGAAGCGGATCCAGACTCCCTCCCTCAGTCGGTGGGGGAAGGTGGAGGAAACTATCCGTTTTAGCACAGGGAATATCGAAAGCTGTCATGGCGTCAGGTCTGGCCAGTTTAGCAGTGGTGATCCTCTGTGCCGCTCTGTCCGGTCGTGTCTTCGGTAAGTTTGACATTTTTAAGCTGATATAAATGAAAAAGGCCTAAGGCTTTTAGGCGAGGTCTCATGGAACAGGGACTCTTCAGGCCCGTTACCAGAGGCTGTCCCTCTGGAAACATGCTGTAGTTTTTAGAAAAAAATATTTAGCAAATTTTTAAGCTATTTTTAATATCGGTTTGATAAAGGAATCTCAACCGACAGACCCTTGCCTAATTCGATTGATGATTAATATTGATGACCGTGAACGCCATTTAAACTTTTAAGAATAAATGTAATGATTTTAGATAATTGGGTTTAGGCAGACTGCATGTAAAATTCAGTTTTTTTATTATTATTTTTTGTTTTGTTTGAAAAACCAACACCCTTACTTTTACTAGAAAGGTAGCTTTCCCGGCACTCGATTGGATGAGATCCCCTGGCAACGGGATCAGCGTCATTTCCTGTCTGTCTGAGACCAGAAACAACCATGTTTACGTCTATTTTATAAGGCTGGTAAATCTGGACGTGTTACCTTAGTTTGTTTCTTTAACAAAACACTTAAGGAATATTTTTATATAGAAAATACAATATTGCCCGCATATACCTAAAAAGAGAGATGTTTGTGTTTATATATATGTATATGTGTGTGTATATATAATTAAACACTTATTTATCTAAATATGAAGTGACAGCATTAGTCACACAGGTTTAAATAAGTGGAATTAAAAAAAGTCGACAAATGATAAGAGAGGGATTTAGACACACACACACAAAAAAGGTTTTATGCATTTTTTAGCTGTATTTACACAAAAGATCCTGCCAGGTCTCAGTTAATAACAAAGCATCAAATTCAGAAATATTTACAAAATCACTATTTGTTTTACTCATATGTGTATTAGGGCTGCAATTAACGATTTTGCAAATCGATTAATCTGTTGATTATTTTTTCGATTAATTGATTAATAATCGGATAGCCAAACGTTCCATGAAGAAGAAGGCGAAACTAAGCTGTTCCAGTTAGGGCATTCTGGATAGAGCATACTGACAGATGAAAAAGTTTTTTGTTTAAAATGCAAAATCCTAAATTTTTTTTTTTTTTTTTTTAACGATTTTGTTATAATTGCTGCCGTTTATGGGTTCCTCTTCCAGCTAAAGACGCGTGTTAGATTGTTTACACTTCAGCTAACGATTCATTGATTACTAAATTATTTGCTCTTTTATTTTTTTAATCAATAATCGATTAATCGCAATTAATTGTTTTAGTACTAAGGTGTATTATATGATGTACTTCCTTGATAAAGCCTTATAGTTTAAATGAACAAAAAAAAAGTCGATATTACCCATCGTAAAACAATCATGTTTGCAAAACAAATATATATTTTTATTTTTAGTTTTTTTTTGTTACTCTTGTTGGTATGAAAATCTAAAACTTTCTGAAAAACTTATTAAAAATGAAAAGGCTTAATGTTTTGTTTTAACTCCTTTACAGTAAATTTAACAAGTAATAATTCATTATGAACCTTTTGAAGATCTTCATACAATACAGTCACAAACATAATAGTCTTAGGATTTTTCGGTAACACACAACCGGTTATAAAAAAAAAAAAATAAGTCTACCTAAACCTGTTAGATGGAGAGCATCAAGATTAAACTGACATCAACTGTCAAGTCGAGGCATGGATTAACAGTCAGATTTAGGTCTGCACTTTTAATGGGCCATTCCAACAAATAAACATCCATCCCTCTGAACAATCTCATCATAGCTTCTAATAGGGCTGATCTATTTTGCATAAATTAAAAATAAAAAAAATCCAAACCAATACTGTGATTGTTGTTTTGTTTTTTGTTTCCTTTTCAATAACCACAAGCATGTAGATGTTTCACTCCATGGTTTTATTGTTTTCCTTGAAAGCTTCCGTGTCTAGAGTCCCTTTCTAGTCTTAATTGACTTTTTCCCAAAGTCCCAATGTTCGTCACATTGCTCGGATTGAGGGGGGCATTCTGGAAAAAAGATGGCCTTCCTGATAATCTGATGATTCAACAGACTACACCATGGAATAGGAATGGACATTTTTTCAATTAGGATGATCCTGGTTCCAATTTTGATTCCTCTTTTTGATTCCCATTCCAATTGATTCCTTATTCAGATATTCAAGAATTGTCTGCATGTTATAAATGAGCTTGCTTATCAGAGTTCTGTGTGGTTGAAATATTTTAAACTTCTTATTGAATTTAATCCATCTAACATCTAACTTCATGTGAATGTTACTATAAATTATAACAAACATATTTTCAGCCACTATATAATTATCAATCCTATGAACTACTCTAATAAAACCTTCTAAAGTTTTGTTTTATGAAGTTACATTTTCTCATGGAGCCTTCTGTTTGAAAACATAGTTAAGCCTTTACATATATCCAGTGTCTGATGGTTCAGATACTTTTGTTATAGAAGACAGTTTTCTAATGTGGATTACCTGATTCTGACTGCGGTGCTGTTCTAGACTGCCCTGCTGTGTCTGAGTTAAAGCTGATTTACGGTATACTCATCAACCAGGTCATCTGTGTGTGTCGCAGTGAATGCAAATGTGCCTCTGCCCCCTCCACAGACACTCTCCTGCACCTCTCCAAAATTGTAGGTGACCGCAGACAGGAGGCATCTGGTTGGTCAACTCTAGATCCACTCTACACTTTGCGTATTTCCTGTTTGATACCTTAGTGGCTTGTTTTGTTTGTATGTTTGTATGAGGTGCGCGAGAAAGCCGGGACCCTTTTTCCACCTCGATCCCCGCTTTTTTTCACCCTCATGGTCTCCTCTTTTGAAAAAAACTTGCCGCCACTTCCTCACCACCTCGGCTGTATCTAGCCCCACAGCTAGTTCGTGATTGTCCCTCTAGTGTTGTGGTGTGGAATAACATAGCGCAGACCACGCTTGAAAATTGGGCATGAATCCAAAATATCTGCGTCATATCTGCTACAAGAGTATAACAAGCCCTTAAGCCTCATTCACCGCCAGAGCGTTTGAACGGAGCGGAGCGCCGCGCCTCGCCTCGCCTCGCAATTCCCGCTCCCTGCTTAGGAGGATATTCGTTCATTCGCTCCGCCACTCAAAGTTGTGCCAGGGCCATCTGCTCAGAATCCGCTCCACGCTCACCTTCATTTTTCAGCTGCACCGGCAGAATGGCTTCAGGCTCACTCAGATTTCTAGGAGAAGGCATTTTCTGACGTTTTTCCTTCATGTAATTATACCATGGCCCTGGGACACACAGCGATTGATTTAATGATGTGAGCGATACCTGTGTATTGTGTTATTTAACTGGCTTTTTGCACTGTTTCCCAGCTGTGAAAGTAACACCTCGCTCCATTCCTGTTTAATGATTCATTGTCGAAAAATCACACTTATAACAAATAAATGTTATTTTACAAATTTTATAATCCAACATTTTTAACTGACGTTGTAAGCGCAACAGAGGAATATTTGGCATTTTAAAGGAGCATTTGGCTATCCAATTATTAATTGATTAATTGAGCAAATAATTGACAGATTAATTGATTTGTAAAGTTTACCGTTAGTTATAGCCATAGGGTGTGGATTCTTTTACATAACGTAATTCAATTTGATATAATGAGGTTATGTTATTAAACGTATGTGGGGTCAGTTTATGTGAGAATGTACCTTCGCCTCTAATATTTTATGGTTTGAAATATTATTAACTTCTACGGTGCCTGATAAAAGTGCTTTGAGTACAAAATCTAGCAAAATCATGCCAAGAATTACTGCAAAATCATCCTTTTAACAAATTGAGTTAAATTGACTCCATCAGAGCTGGTGAGGCTTATCTTTGCCAGAAGTTTAACCGATTAAACCTAATCTAACAGGAAGTTGTTTGTGTAAACCTTTTGAAAATGTCAAGCATTGAGCTGATAGTTGCTGATTGCTCCAAACCTCATTCTGCAGCTTTAAATTCATGTTAAATCATAATTTTATTTTGTCGAGCTATTACTTTTTTTTTTTTTTACTTTAGAGCTTTTACTATTCTACCATGTTTTTTTATTTAGGAGGGTCAGCTCTTCTTAAAAATGGGTCTACTCTGTAGGTTTTAAATCAGGAATCTGTTTAGGTAAACAATCCTTTCATTTGAATCTCAGTAAAGACACTCTGTTCATTGATGGACTGTGTCTTTTTTACTGAGTTGCAATAAGTTTCTTTTGCTCTCTTTTGCAGGGGGCGACGACTGTAAAGCCTACAGAGATTCATTCAACATATTTCACGAGAGTCAGGAATGCAGCTATGGATTTTGCTGTGGTGACTGCTATAACAGAAAGTGCTGTACCAATTTTTGGGATAAGCTGTCTGAAGTGAAACAGAGAGCATGGTAGCTAATTTATTTTATTCTTCATTCCTTCTTATGGTTTCTTGTATTTGTTTTAATGTCTGTATGTAAGAAGCTTTATGCACTAGTGGTTGCATAGTTTTGCTCACTATTAAGCCATGATTTCCTTCCTTCAGAACTTGCATCTTAATAGATAGTGTGTACACAGCAAAACATGAAATGTATTTTTCCAACTCAGTAATTCAACAGTATATTGTCCTTCTTTAATATATACACATATGTATGTTTATTTGTGGAGTATGACTGAGCTGTTTTAAAATGAAATCATGGTGGACTTCAGAGGTCACTGTCACAACCTGATCCGCTCCGGAAGCATTATCCATACCATCAGCTCATCTGTGCATCCAGATAAACATCCAGATTTTATAAAATCGAGGGTGACCTAGATAAAAAAAGACCTAAATTACGTTTTTTTTTTTTTTTTACGTAAGTGTACTTTTATGTTTTACTCTCTTTTTAACCTTGTAGTATATAGCTCATAATCTAAAGATAGAAACAATAAAAATGCAGATAATTGTGGTTTATTCATATTTGGCCGACTGCTCTGAGTATGTCCGGTGATGACGTCAGAGAAGAAGTTTAACAGAGAAACAAAAGGTCATTATTCTGGGTCTTGCTATGAAGAAGCGGCAAGAAAAACAACAACCATGGCAGACGATAATGCGGAGAGCAGTGTTTATGTTTAACCATCTTAAAAAGATTGTGTTTTTATGGTTGGGAAAGATCACTAGATGCGCACCAGCACTACCATCCATGTTTACTTCCGTAATCACAGCACATGCTGGTCTGTGACGTCATTGTGTTCTCTACTGCGCATGCGGGACACTTGTGTTGTATGACTGCAGTTCACACAGGAGATCACATACAAGTCGCCTATTTTTGAAAATGTGAAGACAACGCAAAATAATCGGATTTCACAAAAAAATCTGAATTGAGCATCAAGACCTGCAGTGTGAACGTAGACTTTGTGGTCCTGAATCGGATACGAATCTGATCTTTTCAAAGGCGACCTGTGTCTGAACAGCCAGGTCGTACTATCCGACCTGAACGCCATTAATACCCGACGAAGGTCACCATTCTGGGTCTTGCTATGAACAAGCGGCGAGAAAAACAACGACCATGGCGGATGATGATGCGGAGAGTAGTAGTGGAGTGCAGTATTTATGTTTAACAATCTTGAAAAGATTCTGTTTTTATGGTTGGGAAAAATTGTTAGATGCGCTCCGGCCCTACCATCCATTTTTACTTCTGCATGAACAGAGCATGCAGGGCTGTGGCGTCATTGCGTTCTATACTGCGCATGCGGGACACTTGTGTTGTATGAGTGCAGTTCACATAGGAGATCACATACAAGTCGCATATATTTGGAAATGTGAACGGCAATGCAGAAAAATCGGATTTCACTAAAAAAATCGGAATTGAGCATCAAGACCTGCAGTGTGAACGTAGCCTTATTTAGACAGGGGTGTGCCTTTCCTAATCAAGTCCAATCAGTTAAAGTAAACACAGCTTGAGTCCACTAAAGGAGCAGAACCATCTTAAGGAGGATCAGAAGAAATGGACAGCATGCGAGTTAAATGAGTGTCCCAGCAAAGGGTGTAAATAATTAAGATCATTCAATTTTTTTGTTTTTCTTTTTTAATAATTTCTCAAACATTTCTCAAAAATTTAAAGGGGTCTGAATACCTTCTGTTCCAACTGTATGTTGCCCTGCCATGAATACTCGGATAATGATACTGTAAAGCAGAAGAAACTATAATTAGTAGGGATGCACGATATTGGGATTTTGGCCGATATCCGATATGCCGATGTTTTAAAACTCATGTAGCCGATAACCGATATCGATACTGATGTTAAAGCTGGACAAAAATAAGTAGTCATTGAAAATAGCAGTTTTGTTATCCATTTCTGACACTTTGAAAAATAATATACTCAAATATATTTTCATATGCTGATATCAAATAGATTTTTAAAAACGCGGTATCGATCTATTTTACTTTCAAAATCTCGTGAAATTTCATCGTTCTGTTACAAACTCTCGTGATATTTTGCAAATTCTTGTGAGATTTTGTTAGTAAAATAGATCGATACGGCGTCAATATATCAACATATAAAAATATGGCAAAATTTTGTGAATTTTCGGGGGATTTCGTAGCATAACGATGACATATAGCAATATTTCATTAGTAAAAGAGATTGATATGGTGTTTTTAAATGGCAATATATCAGCATATGAAGATATTGTGATATTTTAATGTATCAATATTTTTTCCCTCGTCTTTAGAAGTGTTTAAGTCTGTAAAAAATACGTTTTTGAGGGAGAAGAAGAAGGTTTTTTTTTTTTTTTTAGACTTTAGAAACTCAGAAGCTGATCAAATATCGGGTTAAATATCGGTGGGGTGGCCGATGTCCGATATTCAGTTTTAAGGCCGATACAGGCCGATACCGATAGGGGGCCGATTATATCGTGCATCCCTAGTAATTAGCTTTTTTTTTTTTAGGGATAACATCATTGACTTTTGGATTTTTGTGTTTTGTTTTAGTGACATAAAGTCCAACTTCAATTTTAATGACAAAAGGTGAGTCATGTTGTACATTCGTGTGGTTGTATGTCCCTTTGTTCCCCTGCCATGGATACTTGGTTCATGATACTCTAAATCATTTGTTGAAAGGTCATACTTTGATAGCACCAGTTTTATTTTGTTCCTTTTTACTTTGTATGCACTTAGATTACATAATAATATGCTTCTCTTTTGGGGATAACAATTGATTTTCTGATTTTTGTCTGTTATAGTGACAAGTTCAACGACGATTTTATGGATCACGACTCACCTATTCCTATGATCGTTAGTATCGTGGGCTCCATCTTCCTTTTTCTTGTCCTCATCTGCTGCTGTATCTGTCCCTGCTGCTGCATTTACAAGCTGTGCCGCAAGCCACGACGTAAGTAGTCCTCAGGAAAAACCATGTCTTTTGTTTTACTATTTGGTTGGTAGATTATCTGCCTAAAAACATATTGCAAGGCAATATGGTACCTGATTTGATTTTATATATGTAAACTTTCAATACCAATCTCATCTTATTGACACTGTTATTTCCAAGCAACTCAGTGGTCTTAATTTAGTACTACTGTAAATTAGGGTCCATAATGGCACAATGTATTGCTAAATTTTTATTTACGCTCTAAGTTCATTATTAACTTTTGTTAATTATCATACTTAATCTTAAAGTTTCCATGTAAAAAAATAAATAAAATAAATAAATACATTTCTTCATTATTATAATTATTTGCTATAAGATTATTGATGAAAAGAAATGTAAATTACACTGGCCAGCCAGACATGGTCTGTAGGTCAGTCTAGTAAGGCAAAATACTCTGTGCTCCTTTCCAGACCGATATGGTGTGTAAATACATAAATGAGTTTAGGCTAGCCAGGCTTTCATTTATCAGAAAACCAACAGAGAGTGAAAATAATTATTAGGTTATTTTCCCTCACTTTAGTGTTTGGTGATTAATAGTAAAATAATGTGACTTGGTTTTCTGATTTTAAAAAAAGTTCTCTCAATTTTGCCCATTTAAAAATTAGTTCTCTGCTTGTAAAATTAACTCCATACATTTGCAGTTTTAGGAGTCATGTGTGATGCTGCCATGCTCAGCCAGGTCCCTCTTTAAAAAGATTAATGGTATCTACTGAGATAAAGATTATATGTATAGATAAATACATGCATTTGTATGCAGTGTCAGCTGCATGTTGCTAAAACATTCTTTGTTTCCTGCACACAACCAACAAGTAACACATTTTAGAGATGCATGCTGTTTGTCTACCTCTCAGCACATGCAGCAGTGCAGGGCTTGGCTTCTAACATAGTTAGTTTGCTCTTGAGGTTTCCAATGTGGTGGAGATTTTTGTCTGTGAACTTGTAAACCAGAACATCAGGGGACTCATTTCAGGATGGTTGGCCCACCCACCACCTGACTTTCATCACGGAAGGGTTTGGGTCTTACCAAAAACACAGACATGACAGAACAGAGGTTCCTGAAGCCTGATAAATAAGGTCCTCACCCCTTGGGGTTATGACACATTCAGTCATTAAAGATAATTACTGTTTTAGTTTTGAGCCACACCTGATCCTGCTGTTTGTTCACCTTGAAAGACTTTTCCTTTTTTTGCATATGAAACCACTCCCCTTCATATTTGTTCATAATCTTTAACAGATTTTTCTGTATGCTTTTTTGTTGTCACACTTTGTTTTTTTTTTTTTTGGATTACTACAGATTTTACTGTTGGACAAAGATGAGCAGCATAAATACTAGAATCATGTTTAGAATGATCACTGTGGGTTTATGTCTGTTTTATTTTGCAGGTTACTTGAATTCAGCAATTTTATGGGATTTTCTAAGATGAATTTCCTCTTAAGAATCTCAGCCCATCAATCATATTTAAGTTCAAACTGTTCTTTCATTCACGTCTGATGAAAGCAGGATCAATACCTTCTAAAATGTTCCTCTGACTTTAAAATCCACTGAATGTTTTACAGAAGCTCTTAAGGATTGTGAAGAATCATAAAAGGTTATTCTGAAGCAAATCTGGACTTTGGTGTTTTTGGCGTTGTCCCGGGCTCTCTTCTAATCTCCAGAGTGACTGGAATTAGTTTAAGAGGAATTTAGCTTGGCCGACCACTCCTAGGAAGGATCACCACTAAGCAATTTTTCTCCATGTGTAGTTTTTTGGGGGTCTTTTCTTTTCTGGAGTCTCAGAAATGGTACTCTTTCAAACATTGTATAATAATATAATTTTTTACTTTCTGTAGCACTTTCAATTTCAAAGTGTAGTACCAATCATTTTCATGATTATAATTGTCCTTCATTTTTAAATACATATAATAATTATTACCTCCAGGTCCATGGCTTTAAGCTTCTTCTTCATTTTGCATCAAACCTTAGTTAGCTTATATAAATTTCGCAAACAAAACTCATTTGCACTTTTTCTTTTTTGCACTCACAATCATTGTTGGTCACCCTCAACATGCCCACTTATTGCAATTGAATTTTTTTTTCTCCCATCCCAAAAGCACCTTAGATAGCGATGGTTTGGGAATTTCTGCAAATACAATAAAGGAGCAAAGTCTACAAGCTGCTATACAGAATTTATATTGATGGATCCTCTCATCCATATGGGTTATAGACTTGGGCTACACCATTTGAAACCTAGGCGATGTTAGACATTTTATTTGCTTGAAAACTCTTAAACATTTTCCCTTAAGCTCTAAAGCCAGTGGCAGCATTGTCTTATTTCAGAATCTTTTTGAAGAAGATCATTAATTTTAGCAGGTCAAACTGAATGCCTGTTTTCTTTTGAAAAGGAATTTGATGTTATAAAGGGTGGGTATTTATTTGTGATGTCTGTCTTTCAGGACATGTTGGTAGTAAACTTTGTATCTGAATCAAAGTTAATGCTCAAAATGCCTTGAAAGCAATAATTTGGGGTGCTTGTGTGCCATATGTAGTTTGATTTTCTCTAAAGGCTCCAACAGCTGTTTCTTAGATATGCCTGACAGTGAGATTCAGCTGCTTTCCCTGTGCAAATACAGAGGAGTTAGTTTTATCATTATTAAAATAGAAAGTCAGTATTTCCCTTAAAAATCCTCAAATCTGCATTTATGTCTACAAAAGTAGGTAGAGCAGATTTCACTCTCTATATTCTCTCTATATTCTTCATATAATATAGAATAAATAATAGAAAAAACATAAAAATAAATATTTCAAAACAATGTAAAATTAATAGCCGAAATATTAAAAGAAGTAGTTGTTCTCCTCTTGAAAGGATGTTTTCTTCTTTGCTGTAAGCTTTGCCGCTTTTTTTTCTCGGTAGAAAACAAAAGTAAACTGCACATTGTAGCATTCTTGGCACAGGCGGCTTCATGCTGGCATCAGATCCAGGAATGTTCAAACTGAGTCAGTGTTTCCATGACACAACTGAAGGGGGAAAACCTCGAGGACGCCCACATCACTTACAGGAAGTGGTCCTGAAAGACACCAACCCTGTCTTTAAATACACATGGAACAGATTTCTGTTTTCTGGGGTCTCTCTCAGTACCCAAATCTTCCAGAAATAATCTGAAAAAGTTTCTTTGCATTATCAATATTGACTTAGCATATTTAATTTAGTTTCTTTTCTATAAAAAAGGGAGAGATTCAGTAGTTTGTCTGAACTTGTTTCCATTTTATAGTTGTCATGTACACTAGATACGTTTTACGATCACTTGTTAATCCATTTTTGCCTAATTTTTAACTGCCAGGTCTAGGATTTTCTAAATTAAGATTTTTATTAAATGTATAAGTATACTTTCTATGCGGGGGCGGGGGGGGGGGGTCATCCTTATTACTCTAGTATGTTCATACAAATAGGGTGAGAAAGACATAACAATTGAATTAACATTGTTTTTTCAACTGGAAATGCCGTTTTGAGGGGCTTTTTACTGATAGGATTAATCCTCCATTTATAACTAAGTGGGCATTCTATTTTTAGAAGCAGAAGCAAGACGAACAAACCAGTGACCAATTTGTTCTAATATTGTAAAGATTTATTTAGTTTTGAAGGTGTAAATACCATACGGTTTCCATTTTCTAAAATCAAGTTTGAATTATTCAATTTTGGCAACTAGGTTTTGTATTTAGAAAGTTATCTACTTTGCTGAACTTTTATCTAATTGAGAATCTGTGAAGGGAGCTAAAGATTAGGATGATAGCAGTAATCCTCCAGTCTCAAAATACTTGGAGCCCATCCCCAAATATAGGTGATAATAAAAAATCAATAAAAAATCTGTAAATTAAGTGAGTGAGCTTTGTAAGAATGCATTGGTAATACAAGTAAGGATGTTCCTCTAATTGAGAATGGCTTAATGTTTTTTAGTAATATGTTTTCTTTCCGGTGACCAGTCGTACACAGTCAGGAACATACTTCTTGCTTAAATTCTGGTTATTATGCCAGAGGTATGAATATAATCGGGTTAAACTCTCTAAAGATGAGTGGATTTAAAACACATGACATACTGAAGTTGAGGCCAGTTGGTTAGTAAAAATCCAATTGAGTGAAGAAAATGTATTTTTTTTTTTTAGCTAAGCCATCCCTATACTGTTTCTTTTTTTACTCTATTATGACTTGTTATTGGTATCTTGCGTTGTAAATGTTCAAAATTTCTCACATTTCCTTGTTTCCTTACAGCTGTGGTAGCTACTACCACCCACACCACAATGGTGACCTCTGCTCCTCAGCCTCAGTACCCCCAGCAGCCAATTTCAGCATCTGGATACCACCAGCCGTACCAGGCAGCCCAGTATCCACCCTACCAGCCCATGCCAGTTCAGCCTGGCTATGGAACACACCCCATGCCTACCTCGCCTTATGCAGGACAGCCATGTGCCCCAGGACCACCACCACCCTATCAGGAAGCCAGTGAGTATGATCTGCTTCTTGGCGTCCATGCAAAGAGACCATCAAATGTGATAATGTATCTAAAGTTACACACAGGTTTATTGGTAGACTCTTTATCAGCGTTTTTTTCTAAAGATATGTTATTTCTGTCACCTTATAGCTATACAGGATTCCTCTCTTTCTGCTGTTGTCAGGTTAAAATTCCCTGTAAGGAACATCCCCTCAGGAGTAAATAGTGGGCCGGATGATAAATATTTAATTGATGCTTTGACTGGTCTGCAGTAAAAAGCTAGCATGGGGTACTAGGGAAGGATTTTCTTAAGGAAATATAAACTAACTCAACGTGCAGTATTTATAACAAATAAGTGGTTAAAAGTATTTTATACTTTTAATTATAAAACATATATATATAAAAAATGAGAAAGTAAATTTAGAAACTTGAGTTATAACCTGAGTTTTCCTAATGGTGTAAAATTACACTTGTTTTTTTTTAAAAGTTGATCCTGATGATTCTGACATCAGTCTATCCAATCCAGGCAGTTTTGTGAGGATTCTTGCAGCCTATGTTGCTTTTCTTCCCCCATTACATGATAAAAATGACATATTGTTACTTAATGTTACACCCATATTAATTTCAACAGAAAATAAACATTTTATTCTTGGTTGATGTCATAATGTTGCTAACCTTTGAGTTTTAAACATGCTGTTGTCCAGCCTCTACTTAAAAACCTGACCATGATGGAGGTGTGCTGGCTAAGTTGAGGACCATCTCCAAGCTGCCTTTTATTTTTAAAATCCTAGAAAAGGTGTTTTTAGGTGAACATTGTGCCCTGGAGGTGATTCAATCTCCTTTTAAATGTCTGAATAGCACTGAGGCCTTTAAGATGTTTTAATGACATCCTCTTGGCAGATGACTCTAGTGACCATGTTACTGGTTTAGGTCTTATTTTTCCAATAGAAGTGTGAGCGTGAGCCTTGGGAACCAGGAATCTAGCTCGGCTCCTCTTCCTTATGGCATACCACAGGGTTCAGTGTTAGGATCCCTTTTCTTTTCATTGTACTTGCTGCCCCTAGGGTTCATGCTGAGCAGGCACGGCATCTCTCATCATTTTTATGCTGGTGACAGTCAGATATATGTGCTACTTGTATGCCTTAATGACATTAAAGACATGGGTTGCTCTAAACCTTTTTAATATCTTAACAAGGACAAAACTGTGGTGATGGTGTTTGGTCCCAGTAATATTTTTTAATCCCCCTGTTGACTTTAGCCTTTTCACTGTTTTTTTTAAAGCCTGTCATCTCAAACTTGGGTTTTAAGATGGTCAGTAATTTTGAATTGGATTGGCAAATCTGCTCTGTAGTAAAGTCCTGCTTTTGTCATATCGGATAGTTGGCCAAGGTCAAAACTTTAAAAGCAGCACTTTAAAATGGAAAATCATGCCTTTATTACACTTTGTTAAATCTTGGCTAGATTACAGTAATGCACTTTATTTTGGAGTGAGCCAGTCCTCCCTGGCACGTCTGCAGTTGGTGCAAAATGCAGCTTCACAGATTTTTAACTGGATTAGATAAGAGGGAGCCCATAACTCCCATCCTTTATTTTTTTGTAAGCCTCTAAATAGCTTGGCCCCTCCCTACCTCTGAGCTTCTCCACCTCTATGCTCCTAATCAGTGCTTCAGGTCAGCTGACCTGCTGCTCCTGGAGGTACCGAGGTCCAAACGGAAGCTCAGAGGAGACGGAGCTTTTTCAGTTTCTGCTCCAAAATTGTGGATTGAGTTCCCACTCCTCATTGGACCACACTCCTCACCGTCCATTTTTAAAACAAGTTTTAAAACCTATTTTTATTCTTTGGCTTTTATAACAGCATGAGATTTTTTTTTTTTTTGTGGTTGGTTTTATTGTTTTCTTATATGGTTTTATTTGTTAAATTTGAATGAATTCTATTTGTTTTATCATTTAAACTTGTATGTTTTTATCCATATTTTGACTTTCTTCGGTATGTACAGCATTTTGTGGCAGCTGTGGTTGTTTTAAAGGGCTTTATAAATAAAGTTGAGTTGAGCTAAAAGGGGTAGTTTAGCTTTGTTTGAAATGTTCACCGTCTGTAGCTGACATGTAGAAGTGTCCTTACCGTCACAAACCCTCCTGCTCTGAGAAACAGACGGTAATGTACCAGAGAAAGAGCGGTAGCTCTGCATTACAGTGCCCAAATAATCAAAGGTTTTTAAGTTAGAAAACTAGGCATGTGTTTTGTTAGATTATTTAATCATTTTATAACATCCTGGATATATGTCAGATATCAACTGGACTATTTCTTTTGCTGCCATCACTCCACTGCATTGCTTCGGCAGATGGTTCCTGAGCAGGGAAATAAACCGCTCATCAGCACGCCAAATAGTTAAACATTATTTAACTATGCTGTCCATAGCGGATCCTTCCTCAGGCCGTTAATAAACTGTTATGTTTATTTCTGTCTTCCGCAACTATAGTAGCCCAAAAATATTCCTAATCGATGTCAGGGTGTGACACGTCTATGGGATGTTTTAAAATTGTTAAAACAGTTTAACAAAACTTCATGTCCAAAAACCTGAACTATCCCTGTAAGTATTTCCACATCAGGATTTCTCCTTTTCCGCCGTCTTTTTTTGAAGTCCACCAGTTCCTCTTGCAGCTTAGCACATGATGCAGTAACTCATTGTACCTTACAGTTGCTATTTGGTTCAAATATGCAAACTTCCTTGTTTTTCTCACAAATGTAAGAGTCTGTAAAATGCATTTGAAAACTGTAGTCTTGGCTTTTTGTGTCGTCCTTAAAAAAAAAAAAAAAAAAAAAAAAAAAACAGCTTCTGATTTGCTTTTGGCTTATGTTTGGACATCACTTTTTGTTTTGTGGACACCATTTTTAAAGTATAATATGCTTTTGTTCTTTGATTAATTCAAACAGTTTATAGTAAAACAAGTTAAATCTCCATGATATCAACCCGTTTAGCGGTCTGTTTCTGTATATAATGATAAACATGGAAACCTGAGACATCAAGATATTAAACCTGAAGTTGAATCAGAGTTCCGACCGATCTGAACTAAAGCTGAAACAATTATTCATGATTAATCGATTATTGAAATAACTGTCAACTAATTTAGTTATCGATTAAATATGAACTGGAGTTCAGAGACACTAAAAGGGGTCTTTAGCTGACAGAGCAACCCACCTTGAGCAGCAGTTATACAAAAAAAATAAAATAAAAAATACTCACATTTTGTATTTCAGATAAAAATCAACACAACTTTTTCTTCTGTCAATATGCTCTATCCAGAACTCCTCAAGTGGAAAAGTTTCCCCTGGTTTAATGATGTAAAATGTCCTCTTTAAGGAACCTTCTGCTATCCAATTATTAACAAAAAAATAATAATCGACAGAATAATATAACAATAATAATAAAGCAATCGCCAGTTGCAGCTCTAATCTCAACATAGAATTTAAACCACTTGTTTGAAGTATATATTGAAGCTCTGAAAGCTTGGTTGCCTTGTTGCACCAGAATAGCGGAAGTGGAGGTGGATTAACTACAGGGTTATGTTTAGGTTTTCTGAAGTAACAGGAAATGAATAATTTCTGTTTTTATATATATATATATATATATATATATGCATGAGCTATTATGTGGTTAAAGGATATTTCTGACCCTTTCATCTTCATGCTTTTCTCCTTCTATTTCCAGTTGGTCCAGCCTACCCTCCCCAGCAGCCGATGCCTTACAGCCAGGCGGCATACAGCCCCGGACAGCCAGCATACCCCCTACAACCTCCCGCACACCCACAGCCAAATCCTCCACCCGCTCAATCAGACTTCCTAGCACAGCCTGCATACAACCCAGATTATGTTGTCCCACCCAAAACGGGGTGAAGTTATCTGTCATTAAAACTATTCTATCTTTTGCTGAGCGGGAAGGAAAAAAGTGTTAGATAAGATAAGAAATTCTACAGAAAATGGCTTCCTTTAGTTTGATGGTAAACATGGAAATGTAACGGCTGAACATTTGTTGTTCAAATGTCCCAAAGTACAGAAATGTTGATGCCTTTTGACTTGTTTTGCAATGATATTCAACATGTGTATTTACTTATATATGTATTGAAACATGGTCTGATTCCAGTTTACCTGTGGCTCCTTTGATATCTTGGCGAAATTAACATGAACAAGAATGAAGAAATAGTTTTCGTTTTCTGACCATGCCTCAAAGATTTCTGCCTGCCTTTGATGTCCACCAGTCAAACCTACTGGTCCGACTCCTAAGCAAACTGCTGCAAATAGGAAATTTGACTAAAAAAAATTCCTTCATACGTGCTTTAAGCTTCTTTTTTTCTAAACATACTCTTGTTTTTATACTGGTGTAAAGTGGGTATTAGTTTTTATTGCACTTCTGGGATACTTTATTTTTCTAAGCAGTCATTAAAGGGAACATTTCATTTGTCATCAGTACAGAAAACTTAAAAGCTGTTGCTTTTACATGTTGATTTCATATTTTTGAGATTCTATTAATTTTCAAATGTGCATCTGTGTGCTAAAGTGCATTCATTCCTTCCTTTAGCATTCCTTATGAGAAATGTTACATATTTAAAATGTGAGATGCACATGTGCCTTGATAGCAAACTTATGGACCATGGACAATGTCATGCAATCTGATAGCTTCAGATTTTTTAAATTTTGAATCAATATTGTTAATTTGAATGAGAGCACCTTAAAATGATACTTGTCCTTTTTATTTTGTTTATTTGTTTTATTTTTCCTTGATATTCAGCATTCAATTTGGACATGACACTTATGTTTTTTTTGTTTAACCACATTAGAACCCAGAATTGTTTTCAATGTTTTCAGCAAACACACTGCTGCACAACTGATATGCTACGTTCAGAACACGCGCTAGAAGCAGCTAGTTCACATGCAATGGCAAAAGTGACATGCATCAGGGCGCGGCAAAAGTGACATGCATCAGGGCGCAGCAAAAGTTCTTGCAGCACGTTTTGAGCAGCAGGGTCAGCGCATCTTGACACATCTGAGCAGCTGAAGCAGCACCTCATGAGCTTCTGAGCATCTGACGCGTGGGACGCACTAAACGCGCCACATCAACCAATCAGAGAAGCTGATCTGGGGGCTGGCAGGGAGACGGACACAGCACTACTAATGCAGATTGCTATCACGCCACTGAAATGGTTCATTTATGCCTAAGTTACATGCAGAATTTTTTTTTCGATTTTATCATTCTGGTGCCTGCAGTTTGGATTACGTCCATGAAAGACGCCTTCCAGGTGCCGCGAACAGTGATAGAAAACTGAAGGCGACCGGGCCAGAGGCTGCTGTTGAAGGGGATTCCCAGTGACAGTGCACCACCGTACAGCCGCCATTAAAAAATATAATTAAAACGACTTTTTACCCTCTTATAACAGGAAATATAGCAAAGCCGCTCTCTGCCATTGAACACAGAAGCATCGGACGCATCTGGACGTGCTTCAGGCGCTTCAAAGATGCTCTTGAAGCATGTCTGACCTTAAGGGGTAAAAGCATCAAAAAATGAAGCAGCATAAGCTTTTTTCCTGCTTCCAGCGCTTACGGTTTGAACGTAGTATTTGTAAAGGATCCTTGGTTTCTGCTTTTGTCTATTTTATCTCTTGTCCTTTTGTTAAATGTTTTTTTTTCTTTCTCTGAAATTTTTTTGGAAATGTTTCCTTTACTTGTGATCCTGTTTAAACAGGAAAAGAAAAGTTATTGGTTTGTTTCTGGTTCTTCTACTTTATATCCATCAAGGTCCAGCTTTAGTTATTCAACTGGGCCTTTCAGATTTCTTTAGATCCCTGTTACTAGGGCAAGATCAACATCTCAGTTTTTAGTTTATTGTCTTCTCATCTGTAGAATTTTTTTTCACACGTTACCCTTCATTTAACAGGATTTCATCTAATTTATTTTTTTCTTCTTGCATCTCATTTAAATTTAACTTAAATGAAAAGATGTATAAAACATTCAGCTAAATTTAATGTCTTGCAAAATAAAATTATGTCCTCAGTTTGTTTTTTGGCTTCAAAAACATCACTATAATTACAGCTGATGACGATTGGTTATGGAAGGCAGATTTTTACACTCCATGCTTGTGGTTTCTTAATCTAAGCAGTTACTCTGCACTGTATTTGAAATATAGTCTTGCTTTTTTTTCTCTTATAATTTCAGTATGTAATATCTTTCATTGTAGTTTTATGTGAAAGGAATGGATTATATAAAAAGGTTATTAATATTTTAAGCCCATTGGCTCAAAGTGTAGAACCCTTGTTTCCTTGTGATCACAGATGCAACCTTTTTTTGGGTTTTCCAGCTTTATACATCTGAAGACTGAAACTTGGGCTTTTCTTCTATTAAAGTTCATGCTCTGGCTGAATAGAGAGTCCATGATCATTGATCTTCAAATCTTAAAGATTAATTAAATTTTAGCTTGGAATTTAACTAGACCATTCTGACACATTATTATGCTTTAATATAAACTGCGGCGGCTGCGTTCAGGGCTCTCATCCTGCTGGGAGGTAAACCTCAGTCCCTCATTTGTTTCACAGACTGTTTTCTTACAGTATTTCCAGTTGTTCAGTTCCATTTGTCCAAGTGGCCCTATGCTGTACTGCTGACCTCTACATGACTTTAAACATGGCTTCTTATAGAGGTGAATTACTCCACCTGAGCTGTGGATGCTTGCAGCTCCTCCAGAGCCACTTTAACATTGATTTTTGACATTTTATTAATGCTGTCCTTGCCCAGTTATTCAGTTGGGTAGATGACCATGTCTTTGTTAGCGTAACAGGGATCCCATAGCCTCTAATTCAGGTTAATGAATTGAATGTTCTCTATCACAATACAGCAGGGCTTTTATCACCTGAGAAAGCTGAAGTTTTCTGTGCAGACAGCTTTTTGAGCATTTTTGAATCGATCGTGGCTTACGCAATGTTCTATGATGTTACCTGCTGAAGAAGCTGCAGTTTAACCTGCTGCATCCCAATTGATTATTGTGTTATCCTCCTTCCTCTAGGCACTGCACATGGTTCAGCCCATAAAACAATAGAGAAATATATTTGGGAAAGAAACCAGCAAATCTAAGGCTTTGAGATGCTACCTTTGTAGGCCTCTGTCATAGAATAGTAACCATTAATAAATGGTAAAAAAAAAAAAAAAAAAGGGTAATTAACTGGTCCTCACCTCAGCTGTTTGTCTTAATCAGCATCTTTTGTATTCTTAAATGTCACTTTTTAAAAATAAAACTATATTTTATAGCCACTTGTTTTTTTGCCTGATCCCATTCTGGGTTTCTAGTGTGCCAGAAAAGATTTTTAGCAGTCTTTGTACTTTGTTTTGTAACTCTTAAATATAATTTCCGGCAAATCTGCCCCCTTTAAGGAAATCCATTGAATAAAGAGCAAACATTTTTAATAATTTTTTTATATTTCACCATATACTGGTATAAATAAGAGACTGTGATGTTATTATTGTTTTTTTTTTAGGCGTTATTTTTTTTGGCTTCTGGTTAAAACCAATACAATCATCTTACCTGAGGTTATCCAAAAGGTTTATATACAGAGAGCACGGGGTTAAAATATGACGGGCTTTGGTAACTTTAGGTTACTTTAAGTAAAGAAAAAGTTAACCTGTCATGCCAAACTTTAGAGTTAATTTGGGGTGGTGTCATAAGCAGTCTTATTAATTTAAATCAAGACACAAAGAGATGGTTTTGTCATGATACATAGCTTTCTAAAATATTAAATATTCCAAAATTAGTGCCATGTATGTTGAAGAGTATTTTTAATTTCTCTAATAAATTTATATTGGACTCCCTCTTCAGTTTATACCAGGATATAGTTAGCTATTGAAACAATTGATTAAACAATGTAAAACTGCAGTATATAAATGTTCAACTATATATTAAAGGACCTTTGATATGTAGTTGTTGCTATAACACATATTGCATATGTTTTTTTTTTTTATTCACCTATATTAAAGATATAATTTGCTCCATTGATTGGCCACTGAGTAATTGGTTATGAAGCTGTAAATTGAAGCAACCATATTATTTATGGAAATCCATGAAGGGAGCAAATACGTTGTCTTCATCCCAGTCCTACAATTATTCTTTCTTTTTGTATTCTATAGAATAATATTTAAATAATACTGTATGTTTTGTGCCTGACTTGGAATAAACCAATTAAAATGAACTAAATCCTTAATGCACCAAAAACCACACACACCTGCAGTAGCTTGTTTCTACACATGCCTTGTTGTTTTAATAATAATAAAGAAAAGTTAATTTACTTGCAAAAATATACTTTTTGAATGATATATTTTCAACTCTACGAGTTGGTTTCATAAGTTTTAAATAAAAAAAAGATTTATTCTCTAAATTTATTTCTATTTATTTTTTGTATATTTTAGTCTTTAGGATGCTTAACCACATTTTTACACTTCATTATTGCTCTAGGGGAGGAGTTTTCAAAGTTTTCCAGGCCAAGGACCCCCAAACCCATGATGAGATGGAGCGGGGACCCCCTAATTATATATATTGTATGAAGTTGTGTTGCATTAAACTGGTTCTATAGTCACTCTACTCCATTTGAAGTAATGTAATGAAAGTAATTTTATTAAAGTATTTCTGATTCTGATTCCTCGTTAATGGGACAGGTGTTGTGAATGAAACGGATCCCAGCTTGAAAGAGCTCCCGTATGTTGCCGAATGTGTGCATTGATGACTGAAAGACCTCTTCTGCCTCCATTTATCTGTTTACTAGAGTGTGTTGAATTCAGCCTAATGTGTATTTAAAGACATGACAATTAGTGGAAAAAAATTGCAGGGGGGAATATAAACCCCCATGCAGTACCTCTGTGGACCCTCTAGGGGTCACAGACCCCCTGTTCAAGACATCCGCTCTAGGGAGATTCAAACCAAGTACCTTACTGCTATGAGGGTACTCGGTTTGAATAAACCAATCACCAAGTAATCATGTGGTTTATAAACAAATAAATCACACGATTAAATATGGTTTATTTAACATAAGATCTCTTTCTTCAAAAAGTTGCAATTACCAATCAAATTCACACCCTGTGAAATTAATTATTGGGAGATAATTACAGCCATCTTATTATCTATTGGTTTTAAAGATACAGATAAATTTAAAACCAGATGTCGAAAGGAGTCTAAGGGAAAAAGCATTCAACAATGCAACACAGTTAAATAAAGGAGATCAATGGTAATTTAGCATTTTATTTTATCTTTGCAAAGGTGAGAACAAGACAGATTGTAACACACAGCTCAATGTTCTTCCAAGCTCTAATCTAGACAGGGTTTCTCCCACTATTTAGATACTGCAAAAGAGCTGTGAAGGTCTCCACATGCAGTTAATCAAAGCAAGTTACAGGCAGTTGAAGAACAGAGTAAAATGTTGAATAAACCTTGGGAACAAGTCTGGCTTGTTTTGGGAATTCTTATTCTCTCTTCTAAACAGGCAGGTGTGAGGCCTAAGTGAAAACATTTCCAAAGTAAATAAAATATTGTGAAGGGACTTTTCCAACTACAAAAAGACATAAGGTCTGCAGTGCTGTAAAAACAGAAGTAGAAATCCACTAAACGTGCTTGTTCAATGAGGAATAAAAAAAAAACCCTCCTTTTTGTATGAGGAAGAGGCTGCAGCATTGCCTTTAGTTGCTTAAGAAAAGAGATCTGTAGAGACTGGGTGGATACATTAAACATAATGTACTGTAGTTTGAAGCAAATCTGGGCAGAGGTACTTTTTGCAATCACATCTTGCAGAAGAGAAAAACATCTTAAGAGTCTGAATCTGGTTTCAGTTTGAGTTTCCATAAAAATAAAAAGGTTTGTCAGCTTTGTATGAGGACATATAATAGAATATAGCTTGAATGAAGACAAAGTCTGACTTCTCTGCTAAAAATACATTTAAATACTCCTCTTATAGTAGTGTAAAAATACTCGTACTTATCTATATCTTATTATTGTATGTTTTCTTACAAATATTGGGGTTTAAATGCTGAAGAATGTTAAGTTAAAAGGTTAAAATAACCAGAAAATCTGGATTTGAGGGCATTTGAATCTCTGCTGTTGCATTAATGCGCCTTTCATTGACCGACATAACCTGTTCTGTGACTCTTACTGCCTGTCAGCTCCGGAAGTTTACCTTTTGCTCTAAAGGCTTCCAAACCCCTGGGAGAAATAAAATCTATTAAACCTTTTCCTGAGAAGGAAATCATAACAGACCACGATCTAAAAGACTTGCAGTCATTTAGATCAGTTAAAAGGTTTGACCTTCCTTTACCATCTAAAGCTAAGAAGTGTTTCCATGTGTTTAGGAATGCTGTCGGGTTAGTTGCCTCTGGGTGGGTCTCACAGGTTCCAACAGCTGTCTCACTGCGGTTAGTCTCATTTTCCCAGAGTTGTGCATCATGGCAGTTAGGGTCTCAGGTCTTTTGCTCCGGGTTTTCACTATTTTCTGTTTGGTTATGGTACAAAGAGTATGGGGTGAGTTTTCCTATCATTTCTGTCTTTTTTTTGTTAGCTTAGGCACTCATTAGTCACATTTCAAGAAAAAAAAAAAAAATAACTGTAAAGATAAATTGGTTAAACAGTAGAGAACAGCATGGCTCTGATGGGGGCTTTGTAAACAGTTATGCTTCTATCCACAACAAGATCTCTAGCTCTGCCTCTTTTCACAGGGATCAGTGTTACACTTTCATGCTGCTTCCATAATTGTCAGTGATTGCTTTTACTATATCTTTTACAGCGGATTATTGCACTAGATACATCAATTCAAACAATAATTTAAACCCTTCGGTGGAGTGTGATGAATATTGCTGTGGTGACTGTTGGAGTAGATATTGCTGCAGTGACAAAAATAAACGTTTAACTCAGGAAGAACAGAATGAATGTCCAGAAAGGTATGTCTCAGTTCTTCTTTTCCTTCAATCCAAATGATTCCAAAGCCAAACAAAAAAAAAAACTAAACAAATCAAAAACATTGCTTGCTCTCTTTTTTTTAAGGCCTGCCTTTGTTAAAGGTGATAAAATTGGTTTGATTCTGGGAATCGCAGCTGCAGTTGTTTTCGCCATCATCTTTGTGTGTCTCATCGTCTGCTGTGTCGTCCCTTGTTGCCTTTGCCACAAAATATGTAGAAAACAACGCCATCGCGGGCAAGCAGGTAAGCAACAACTTTTTCCTTCAGTTAAGCCTCTGCAAACAGCAGGTTTAGTGATGCAGATACATATAATACAGCCTTGCATAAAAAAACCAAAAAGCTGGACATATATTAGGATTTCTTTCTGATAGACCAGCGCAAAGCAAAGTTAAGTTGAAAGGAAGTTATACATAATCTGTTAAGATTAGCCTGTATTGATTTTTAAAGGCCTCTTATTCTAATATCCATAAATTAAAGTTTAATAATCCACCTCCAGAATATGTTCTGGGGTAAATATGAGCATATCCTGGGTTTTTGGTTATAGACAGCCAGATAGGAACTTTGTGAACCAACTCAGGCCAGTAGCAGGATTTGCTATTTTATCCTTAGAGTGTTGCAATCAGCTGAGACCTAACATGAGGAAATTCTCAGATATGATATGCATTCTCCTTTACTGTAGAAGCCTGCAGATACTGTAGAGCAAAAAGGTAATATACTGACTATAGTAAAGTTTAATTTATGTAAAAAAAAAAATAGGAAAATATGATTATATCACAGTAGTTACACTTTGAGGGTTCTTTTTATTTTGGTTCATCACATAGAATCCGGATAAAACACTTAAAAGTGTGTAGTGTAACATGACAAGATTTAAAAGTACAGCAATGACACAGGTTGTAAGATGTGAAAAAATCCTGTTTAATATCTGTCATATAAGTCTACATCTCAGCATCTTATCATAAAAGTCTTTCAATGTGTGAAAACTTTACTTTTTAACTTTAAGTGGTCGAACATATCTGCCATCATGTAGTCAGAGTAAATGTATTTCTTTCTCCAGCAGTAACAAATACTGTAGCCAGCATGCCCCAGCCTCCCTACTCACCATCCGGATATCCAACACCCCCTTCGGGATATCAGCCTGTTTCGGGACAAGAGGGCTTGGCGATGCCCAGTGCCCCGCCGCCATCATATATGGAGTGCAGTAAGTTGTTCATTAGCTGCAAAATCTCATTTCAGACCCTCACTCTAAGACTGATTAAAAATGATAATGATAGACAAATCTGAGGAGTCAGAATTTCTAATTTAACTATTATGCAAATCTGCAGTCCGTTCCTTTTAGCATAGAATCAGATTTGGTCCTTGTTTCAATGCATCCTGAAACAGCGGTTGACTGAGGACAGTATTTATCTACAACTCTGTTTTACACTGTGAGAACATTTTTTAATACCACCTGTTTTCAATAGAGCCTTTTTGCTTTTCCTCTTGTCAAACTTATATTAAATCAGAATATAGCATGTCCTTAAAAAATAACTGCAGTAAACTTCATTTTAAGGGGATTAGTGTTAAAGTATTACAAAGTAATAATTAATATGTATTATATACATTTTTATGACAACTCTTTTTATGTCAACCTTAATGTCTATATAATGTTTATAGCTTCTAAAGATGGTATTTTTTTAAACATAATAATTAAAAAGATCGTCTGATATGTTCTCTATGCACAGGTTTTGATGAGCAACAGGTAGCAGCTTTAGTTTGTGGTTGTTTAACTAAGTAGATGAAGTACTCTGAGGCTGTAAGCTCAGAATATACTTTATAAAATAAAATCAGAATCAGAATTAAGTTTATTGCCAAGTAGGTTTGCACTTACAAGGAATTTGACTTGGTGTTGATGGTGCAGACGAAATAGATATATATACAGAATACAGAATCTATAGCTACACACAACATAAAACATACAATATACTACATGCAATATATAGTACATAGCTATATACTATGTAAACTGTAGACTTTGCATTAATGTAACGCAGAAGGTCTGGAAATGCAAGTATAAAGTATTGCTTTGGCAGCTTAGCACTAAGATAAAACTAAAGGTTTTCTTTGGATATGGAAACTTTTAGTATGCGATGCATGCCTAAAAACATATTAATCTCTTTAACAGATTAAATAATAATTGTGTCTCATCTCTTTAGCTTCTCCATCGTACACTCCAGCTCCCTACATACAAGGGCAGCCAATGTACCCTTTGACTCCTCCCAACCAGCCTTATGCACCACAGCTACCAGAGGAAGCTTCACAGCCCCCTTACAACCCCTCATATGGACCGCCATCCTAAGCTGAAAGCTGCTCACTCAGTTATGCTGCATATTATAAAGACCAGATTGCAAAATCAGTGTGATCTGTAAAACTTTTGGTCATGTGTAGTTATCCTGCAAAGCTTACTGTGTTAAATTAAAAGGCATGTATACCCAGAGGTTATATTCAATGTTTATAGTTTCATCGTTTTAATGTATACTCTTGTGGTAAATGTTGAAGAGACCTATTTATTTCTGCTCCCTATCTCTGCAGAGCATTTTAATTATCTCTCAAATTTTTGCACGTTAGCATGTTACATTTATGCTGCAATAAAATTATGATAATGACAATCTAAAGAAAAAAAAGATTTAATAATGCAAGAAACATTGCACTACTTACAGAAATAGAATTTTGTTGCATAATATCTAAGTCTAGCAATTTTTTATATGAAGCAGATTCATGCTTTTTTTATGCTGTCTTTGTTTACCTAAAAATTTATAAGATTACATTTATCTAAGAATAGATTGACATTACTACTGACTGGGATTCCTCAACTAACCCAGCCTACCAGCAGAGGGCGCCACTGGCTGACTTTTTTAAATGAAACTTTTGCTCCACAGACTGTTTCCCCACTAATTTTGTTAATACATTGGAGGGAGCTTAATACGTTTGTAGTCACATAGTCTAAATAGCAATACTCATGTTTGAATGCTAAATAATTACACAAACTCTGCAGAGGCTCATCAGTAAACTCTGATTGAAGAAATTAAACAGATTTTCCAGTAGTAACTATGCTTAAATCTGGTATAAAAGCAGTCTATATTCTACGAGTTCATAAGTGCATCTAAGTCTAAAATGTGCTTTTTACTTCATAAAAAAATTGGTTTAATAGACACGGACTGCTGACTGCTATCCATTAACAAATTCTTTTCCCCCAACAAGTTAGAGTGGAAAATGATCCTGCTGTGTAAGCCTTTTGCATTAGTGCTGAAATGATTAGACTCCTCTGTTTCCTTCCAGAACTGAAATGAATGATAGCAAACAAAACTCCCTCAGGATATCATTTCAATATAAGTATCTAGAAAAAATGATAACAAAAAGTAGATATGAAAAGACAGCTCTTTACACCTTTTGTCACACATATTTTTACATTGGACCAGGTTGGATTGGTGAACTTCCTTCCATTAATAAATTAAAACTCATTTCAAACCTGCAATTTCAATTAAGTCTGGATATCTTTGCCTGATATCAATATATCTCTAAGTGTAAGACATTTGATTTATGGGTTCCAAAGAAGTTTTTTTTTTTGTCACTTAAAAAAAACATTTAGAACTGTGCTCTCTTTAAGCAGGTATTAAAGAAACTTTTCATTAAGCCGACATTTCTGTGTTAAAAATGTATTTTGTGTTGGTCTGCTGGAATATCCTAGTCTTTAATGCCATGTTTTTATTAACTATAAGCAGAAAATTAACAGGCCTGGAAACAAAACATCAATCAGTGTGTGATTAATTGGTGTAATATGCTTTACTTAATGAATTGTGTTATTGAAATAAATGGAATCTGCAGTGGTGATCTTCTGATTTATTAAAGAGAAATGTACATGAAGAATGCAAAAACAAAAATGATGAAAATAAAAAAGGTTGCAATTTCCAAAGCTAACCAACTGTGAATTGAATAAACGTTATGACCTGGAATTATTTTCTTTCCATTAGATTGAACTAGATAAGTAAAAGTAAAAAAATACAGTCTTATGCTCAATGTTTCCAGGTCAAATGAAATGGTGTACTTACTTTTTTGTCCGATAACTTTATTTTAGTCTTTCTGCTTCAATTTTGACTCTGTCCTTAAACATAACAGTATTGTCAATCGAATAGTTTTGTTAAAAGCATCCATAAGCAATTGTAACAGAGAATTGAAAAAAGGGGATTTCTTAGACAGTCACACGCCAGGCTGCAGCATTTCAGACTGACTTAGACGCACTATAGAAAAAAATATACAAATGCTGATATTTGTGGGGAATGCAGCCCGTAGCATGGGTTATACCTTTTGGACCACCTTAAGACAATTATATGCTCACTTTATACTTTTTAATTTATAAAAAAAATGTCCTTACATTGTGTAAACTGAAACAACAGGTTACACCTAAAAGAAGGAAAAAAAACTTGTTTTTTTGTTGTTTTTTTAGGAGGGGTTTAAAGTATTGCACAGTAATTGGAAAACATTATGTTAAACCTGTTGTTTGTTTTAGACAAATGGAAATCTATAATAGTATAACTCATTACAGCAAACACATAGCAAAACCAGCATGCATGCTGAAAGAGAAGTACCACTCAGAGTGAAGACAAGTCACACTGTGACAAATATAGTTCTGCGGCACTGAAGCAATTACTCAGAGGGATTACGTTTTCTCCTTACAGCATCTAGGGAAAAAAATGACTCATATGCCTACTTAATATATCCTCTAACTCCAGATTTCAGGTTATATTACTACTAAATATCTACTAGTACACCAGCAGCCTTGCTCTCAGTTTAGCCTCTAACTGCGGGATTGTGTGTGGTCAAATGGCAAGGCTTGATAGGAATGCATTTAATCCCATAATAACTGGCAGCCCTCCCTCTTATAGTGCTGTTCATTAATCAATACAGTAAAAGTGCTGACTGCAGCTTTCTGTTATCACAGTGGAGGGACTAAATAAAGAAAGCTGACCCTGACTGTACATTGCTGCCATCAGAAACAAGCCCTCTCCTTGAAGTGCGGCTCAGACTACTAATGAGGGTCTTCTGGTGGGATTTCACTCTGGCAGATAATCTTTAAATGTGGCCATCTTTGTAGTTTTCTCTGCTCTTCCATTCCTTTCTTCTATTTTAGTTTCTTCATTTCTTGCTAAAAGGGGTTTTGTTCTGTCTAAAGGTGTCTGGCTTCCTGCCCACGCTGCCATTACCATATTTTCAGCTTGTTTCTGAACATCCCACATGTCCTGTTTATTGCTCCACAGCTCTGTGGAGTCCTCCATATATTTCTGTCTCAAAGTAATGGTTCTCAACACACTACAAATAGACACGCACATGCTGTAATACTGAATGTCTGTGCCAAGTCAACTTTATTTATAGGGCATATACTGTATATTAGAAAGGATTTAAAGTGCATTGATCTCAACAATAACGAGAGTTAATCAAAACAATGAAAAACAATAAAGATAATAAACACCTGCAATGTCTATCAGTAAGAAGATGTCAAAAGAAATTATTAAATGCAAAAGTTGTATCAGTTAAAGCATATGAACCCAGTTCAACTCTTGATAAGAAGATATGTTTATCACAGTATGTATGACAGTTTCAAAGAGAAAAACAATAAAGAACCAGAAGGAGAAGTCTGGTTCATTTTTATCTTGATCAGAACTTAAACTACACGTAAACTCATATATGTAGTAAGCATTAAAAATATATGGCAAAAAAACTGAAACATGTCAAATATAAAGAAATAATACATATATAAAGACTACAGGAAAATTCAGCTTAGAATCTGCACCTTAGAGACAATGGATGGATTTAAAGATGGAAATTAAATGTTTGATGGTTAGCTGGTTTTATCAGTCAGTAAAATGTGTTTTGGAATAAAGAAACAGCCTTAATTTTAAAGCATAAAATTGTCTTTTTCAGTCATAGTATTCTAAGATATATTTGACATGTTTCAAAGAGAGAAAGCTTTCTATTGTACTTCTGAAAAGTCCAACAATTTGTGTTTATTTTCTTATATGGATGAACAAATACTGACTTCAACAAAGGATGGATTAGATATTTCTCAGCCAACAATAAAGAGGTTTATCATATCTTTACAGAAGAAATTAAGCAATTAGTAAGGTTATGTTGAGGGAAGCAGAGACAGCAATGAATAACTGCCTTTTTAATGTAAGAATCATGTTTGCCTATTGTATCTGTTTAAGCACACAGAAGTGGATAGATATATATTTAGCAGGTTTACTAAAAAAAAGATCTAATGCTAAGGAAAAAAAAGTAGTTTGAAAATGATTCCATAAGGACAGCAGGGAGCAGACAGAGGTCAACACCGGTTCATGAAACCAGCTGTATCACATGAGAAGATCTTAGTCCTTGTTAGAAGAGGCGGGCGTGTTAATGCTGAAACCCAGAGACGCTAATCTTGTCACTCTTATCCTTCTTAATCTGCAAATATTTTGAAATAATTCCAACCCTTTGATGATTTCTCAGTAGGCTGTAAAACCTTTGTCTTTCTATCGACAATTTCAACTAACAATGTAGAATGTAATGTTTAAATTTAAAGAGCTGCTGGTATGAACATAAAAAGAAAGACATAGTTGAAGCAAAGGAACAGATACTGATAAATTGTAATACATAGGGTATTTAAGAAGAGCTGGGGTCTACAACAATGCACCTTGGTCTCTTTACTGTGGGTTTTAATAACTTTATCAGTTTTTATGCAAATTTAGCACAGTATTTACAGCAGAAGGACATTAAATGTATCTATGCATCTATTTGCTTTACATTTTTAAGTGGTCACCAATTTTTCAAAGGTATTAGTTTATTAGAAAAAAAACGTTTATGTATATAGTGTATATTTCTTGTTTTTTGTTTATGTTTATACTTTTTTTTCTTTCATTAAACTTCTAGAAGACTTAGCAGCTTGGTTTGCCAACTTTTCTGACCACTGATGTAACAGGACACATATGAACATAATGAAACAAACATTTTAAGAGAAATTAAAGACTGGTCATCTTAAGGGAAAGAACAATCTTTATCATAAACAACAACAACAACAACAAAAAACCACTAAAGCACAAATGAAATGTCGGTAGGGTTATTTTTTCACACAAATTGGCATGAGAGAAAAAGTTATTTAAACTAAATGGCCTTTCCAAAAATACCACAAGAGTTCCTTTACACACAAAAAAAACACAACTCGTTCTTTCACTACAACTCGGGTGAACCCACCGTATGGTCTAAGAATCTCACCTGTTTGTGTGACTGCTATGCATCTGTTTGTGTGAGGTTTATAGAGGCAAACAGTTGAAGTGACACACCGACAGCTGCACACAGACTGATCCAAGCGAAACAGCTCAGTGGCTTCAAAGCGTCACGGCCTCTGCCTAATGTCCAGTCACTTTTTCCTGAGTCCTACATCTGTTCTCTAGGCCTGACTGGCCCTTTTTTCTCCCTAATCTTTCCTCTTTGATTGGCTACTCTTTATGACGGCAATCAAAAATTTTCAACTCTCTCTAAACAGCCTTGGCAGCTTTGTCCTGCTTTTCATTTCTGTGCCTTGTTGGTAAGTTCAGCATTCTAAGTTCAGCATTTCCACACTGTTTTCTGAGCACCAATTTAAAACGTCGAAGCAATTGTTCAGCAATCTCTTATCTTATACCACAAAAAAACATCTTGTTCGATTAATTCTCTACATGGGTATAAACCTGAGGGTTCTAAGTCATCCAGGACATAGCAAGGTTAAAAAATGGACTTTAGTTAGTGAAAAAGGTTTATCCTTCATCCAAACATCTTTGATAGTACAAAGATAGTAAGGGAGAGGTTCAAAGCTCTAAATCTGCTTGTGAAATGCAGTTCTGCTGATTTACATTTCATGTAGATTGGACCCCCCTAACAATAGGTCTTTGTTACTGCTGCCTGGTTCAGAGTTGTTAGGCCACACACAAGAAGGTATAAAGTGGTTGGAAACTGACTGGGCATCGGGTTTAATGCAGATGTTGTTGTTTTTCTGAGCAGAAATTCAATATTATAAAATGAAATAAGAGTTATTCATCCTTTCGGAGAATTTAGGAGTCCCTGCAGCAAAACGGAAGGCATCCTTCTCTGTTTAGAGGTGTTTTTTTTTCTTGTTTGGAGGAGGTGGCCTCCTTCTCTCCTCTCTCAAACCATCCATTTCCTTCATCTAAAATATGCTCTTTAAAGGAGTGTCTGTATCCTTGACATGTGGGTGAGAGGCTCAGTCTTGTCCTGAGGAGCTGGCTCTCCTGACCAACATTTCTCAGTAAGTCAGGATAAAACAAAACGCTGCTCCAACTTAGATGAATTGCTTCAATTGATGACAAGCAATTAAATGAAGTTGATCAAACTTAATTTATTAAATGCATAAGTTGAATGTAAGCTGGGCAAATTTAATTCAATTAGTTGTTCCAAATTGAAGCAATTAATTCAAGTTGGATTTGCATGCTTTTTAGAGTGTATAACATTCTAGTGTTAGGGGAGTCCATGTTTGTGAATATGGATGAGCAGTAAAGAGCATCCTTCAAAGCTCAAAAGCTTAAAACGTTTCCCTCAGTAGCCTTGAATTAAGAAAGCCTGTGGATGATGGACACAATGTTCAGCAGCAAGAACTGATTTCAATTTTTTTTGTCTTCTAACCCTTCTGGTATCCCAATAAGTGATCTAATGATCATATATTGATTGATTAATTGGTTGACTGATTGACTTTATTGATCTCACAGGGGAGAAATGTACTCGTTACATCAGCTCAGATAGTCAAAAGAGGAGAAGAAGGTGCCGAAGGAAGAAAAAGGTGCATTGGATATATACAGTATA